ATAAATATATATATTCATGTACAACTTTTTAAGGTGATACATGCTTAATTTCTCTTGGGCACATACCTCTGAGTGAAATTACTGAATCATCAGAAAATTGTATTTGAGACTTTTTGAGAAACTGCCAAGAAAATGGCACTATTGTTCATTTCCACCAGCTTTGTCTGAGAGTCCAGTTTCTGGACATCCTCATCAGCTCTGTTCTTGTTTGCCTTTTTTACAATAGCTGTCCTGGTGAAAGTGAAGGCGTACTTCACTATGGCTTTAATTTGTATTGCTAAGATGGCATAAGATAAGACAGGGTTCAGATCTGTTATTCATACAATTGCTGTGAGTCACACTCAACTTGACTGCACCTAACAATAATAAGTAATGGTGCTTAGTAGTAAGGATTTGTGCTGCCAACACAAAGGCTTGTAGTTTTAATTTGCCAGCTACTCCAAGGTAGAAAGACCGACATTCTCCTCTCACCTGATTTACTGCCTCTGAAAACCTGCTGGAGGGTCAGCTGAGTGGGTTCTGACTGGATGGTACAAACAACAATAACAGTAATTAATGGGGGATCTCTGCTTGCGTTGTGGTGCTAATCCAAAGGCTTGAATCTACCAACAACTCCTTGGGAGAAAGATGGACATTTCCTCTATGTGATTTACGGCTTTGGAAAATATGAGGGTCAGCAATGGTACAATTCAATGTCTACAACAACGAATTTTGAATAGGACAACTAATGAGAAGAGCGCTGGAAGTTCAGTGGTTAAGGACTCAACTGCCAACCGAAAGCTAACTGATAGCTGTGTCATTCTGCTTCGGTAAATATTTATAACCTTGGCAATTCTGTGAGATAGTTCTCTGTACCTTATAGGGTTCCTTTGAGTCAGAACTGATCGTACAACAAGTTACTAATTCATGATGTGGTCATATTTTTATGTGCTTCTTAGACATTTATGTATCTTCTTTGAGAAATGTCTATTTCAATCTTGGACACCGTTCTTCAATCATGACAGCTTCTTCTCAGCTCTGTAGATCTCTTTCTGATCCTTGGCCTTGAGGCTTTGGCCTCATCTTGGCAAGTGTTTCAAATCTCTTTTAGTTCTACCGGTTATAAGCTCAGTGACAACTCTAGTTTTCCAGTAAACCTTGACCTTGATGTTCTTGCCTGTATCTCTGTAGGTTGGCAAAACCTAGCTAGCTCCCTGTCACTGCCTTCATGGGCTGGGAACTCATATCTCTGCCTTGCACAATTCTCTTGGTTTCTGCCACTTTCTCTGCCACCAAAGCTGTCTCTTCTTTAGTCATTTTGCTTTCTTCTCTTGCACCATCAGGTGCTATAGCTCTCCATATTTGCCTTGCATTGGGGTTTCAGGTCCATAGGATGTGCTGCAGTCTGTCTTGCCTTTCTTGAAGGTGGTGAGAGCATAGTCTTCTAACTCTGCTATAGCAGTTTAAGGCTGGAGGAATGGCAAAACTGTCCAATCCTACTGTTAATGTCTCACACATCTTATTTGGACTGTCTACCTCAAAGATTTACATTTGCAAGCTATCAAATCTCCTTGGTGGGCTACATACATCTCACATTTGCATAGCTCTACCCAGCCATATAGGGAACTCTGGTTGCTGAGTCATAAGAAGCTGTGCTGCACTCCTAAAGACACATGGTTTTAATCTACCAGCTGCTTTGCAGGAGGATTTATGTGTCAATTCCGACTTGATGGTATACAATAACAGCCTAGCCCTATAATCCACTGGACCAGTAGTCAGCATCATGATGGATAGAAGAAGAATTGAGATTGTTAACAACTTCAGCTTACTATGATACACAATTGGTATACTTTGCCCTAGCAGTCAGTAGACCAGGAGATGTCTTGTACTGGGAAAGTCTGTAGTCAAGGACTTCTCTAGATTATTGAGGGTAATGATGTGCCTGATTCAGACATGGTCTTTTCAGCCATTTGCTGTGTTTCTGAGAGCTGAACAATGACTAAGGATGACAGAAGAAGAATTGATGCTTTTGAACTGTGGTGTTGGAGGAGAGTGCTGAATATTCCGGGATCTGCCAAAAGAAATAATGCAGACAGAGGCAAAGTTAATGAAGCTTCATTTCACATACTTTGGGCTTATTGGATGCTTATTTAAGAGGTTATTCCATAGAAAGGAATATCATGCTTGGGAGGTTCAATGAAAGAGAGGAAGACCTTTGACTAGGTAGGTTGACACAGTCACTGCAGTAATGAGCTCAAGTGTGTTAGAGGTTTTCAGGATGAAACAGGATAGGACAGGATTCAAATTAGTTCTTCATAGGGTGGTTATGAGGCCTTCTCAACTTAATGACACCTAACAACAACCACCACCACCTATCTATATAGGGAAAATTACCAAGAAAATGGCTTAGAGTAACAACAAACAAACAAACAAAAAAACCAGCTCAAAACCCATTGCTCTTGTGTCAGTTCTGACTCAGATACCCTCTGTCAGTTTTCCAAGGCTGTTAATTATAATGAGTAGCAAGTGTACAGCTTTCTACTGATGAGTTACTGGTGGATTTAAATTGCCAGACACATGCAGCCTTTGGGTTAGCAACAGAACTCATCAAAGACTGTGCCATGAAGTCATCCTTGGCTTAGAAGAGCCCTGGACTTGGGCAATTGTGACTTAGGGATTGACTGTCAAAGTACTATTATAGAGGTTCGTATTACTTTTATTTCATCTTACTGCATTTGGTTAAGATTGAGGGAAATTGTAAAAGTAAAAATCCTTTGCCAACTGTGGAATCTAAAGAAAAACAAAATATGCTCAACTATAAGTAACAGAAAAAAGAATGGAATTTATACTTCAAAATTTTTGATAGTTTATTACTTTTTATTTTGGTAAAATTAGCTTGAATTAGTTTCCCCCACTAACCACTGTGGTTCATCTGGAAAACTATTTAAATTAAAGCAGAAAAGGGTATTAATTCTGATTGGAGAAATAAAAATTATTTTGATTAATGCAAACAAGTGTGACATTAGTCATAAGATGAGTATGTTTTTATGTGTCAAAAGACAAGGAACATAAGGTGGAGAAGAAATAATGACAGATATCATTAAAAGATAATTATCCAACTGCTAGAAAAAAACATTAATCTAGAAAGACAATCAAATAATAAATATTATAAATGAAACTCCTAGAAAGCTTCATTGACTTGTTATTTAAATGAGATATAAGACTAGCTTATAGATGAGGAAAAGTATACTAAATCAGTATAAATTTAAATGAGCAACCCTTGTGTGTCAATGAGACTGTAAAGAGTTATAATTAAACCTTCCAGTAGGGACCTTTGATGGCCTAGTGGCAAGGAGCAGTGCTGCAATCCCAAAGGTACATTGTTCAAACCCACCCGCTGTTCCACAAGAGTGAAAGGGGTAATATCCTCTCATGTGATTAAACTGCCTTTGAAAATTCCCATAGCTCTAGGTCACTTCAGACTCAAAACAGTAGGAGTCAAAAGAGCACTAGCAGTGGTTAAAGCACTTGACTGTTAACTGTGAGGTTAGTGGTTTGAACCCACCAGCCACACTGATACACAATGATGAGGCAGTCGGCTTTGGTAAAGATACAGAACCTTAGAAACCATAAAGAGTAGTTCTACTCTGTCTCATAGGATCATTTTGAGTTGGAATTAACTTGGTAGTAGTGGGGTTTTGGTGTGAATTAAAGAGGAGTCCTGCTGGCACGATAGTGTAAAGAGTTCCACTGACCAAAAAGTTGAAGATTAAAATCCAGCAGCTTGCTCCCCAGGTGAAAGATGTGATAGTAAAATTACAGCCTATGGGATTGCTATGAGTCAGAATTAACTTGACAGCAACTAATTTAGGGTTTTTTTTATTTGATCTGAATCAAATAACTCTTGTATGAAATGAATTAAATGACACCTTTCAACTTTTAACAGGGTCTTCTGCAATATTATGATGAGCTATGTCAGGAAGTTCCTATTGTGTTTGTTAACTTGATGACTCCTAAAATGAAAAAGGTTGGTGATGTTAAAGGCCCGTGTTGATTTCCCTGTTATTTAAAATGAGATTGTGGTTCTGTAGGTTATGAAATTTAAACTGTCTTTGAGCTTACCAGTTATTCTGTGGAAGAAAAGACCTGGTGATCTCCTCTTGTAAAGACTACAGACTTTGAAACTCTATGGGGTAAGTTCTACTGAATCTTACAGGACAGCTATGTGTTAGGGTTGACAGCACCTCACAACACTTCTTACCTGAATCATCTGCTTTTCTAGTCCAACCTTACAGTTCTGTTTCTTATCTAAGCTTTGTTGCTTTGAAAACCAAATAAATAATGAATATTTTCTAAAAACTCATGATTACTTTATGGGTAGCACAACATTATCTTAAAATTAATCTTTAGTAGATCTAATGCAGGACCAAATATAATTTAGGAAATATAAATTATATCATTTCCAACTAGCAAAAGCAACATTTCTATAAATGTAGATGCTCCTGTATATAATGTAAGCAGTCACATTTTTGCTTTTCTAGGTGGAATTTGTGTTGAGACAAGGGCTCACAATATTAACGTGGTCATCTTTAACACTGGAAAGTTTCTTTCAAGAAGTTGACTCAGTTCTGAATATGTTCAATCAACTTTTAAAGAAGGTATGGTTGAAATATTTTAAAAAGCCACATACATTTATACTCATGATTAAATAATAGTGTGAAAGTCTATGAAAACTTTTTAAAGAATGTAACTTTTAACTAAAAGAACATCTATTTAAAAAGAATACTTTCTCTTTTTTTGTTGTTAGTTTGTGTGTAAGAATTCATATGCAGCATGGAGGAGGAATAGTGGAAATGTATCCACATTTACAACATTCCTCTTACCAAAACCATTTATGGTAAATAGGTACTGCATTGGAACATATATCTCTGGACTGGAAATGATGATATTGTTAATAGTCCTAGCCATAAATGTAAAAGATTATAATGTTCAAAATTATTTGTTATACATTTGCTTAA